AAGAGCTGCCAACTCAAATCCCGGTCCTCAGGACCCCGGTGGTCCCATGATGACCGTCGGGTAACTGCCAATATTAGGGTGTAGGATTCAGCACCTCACTGAGAAAAGGACAGTGAGCTCTAATGTGGCCTTCCTGACCGCAATGGAAACAAACTCGCACACTTCGCCTGCAATCTCTACCAAAATGGCCCTCCCCGCCACACCCGTGACATATAAAAGCTATGCGCCTCTTTCCAACTGATCCTAAACTCTGGCCGGCGGACTTGAACCGCTTCGCTGCAGGTGGGGTCTAATTCGTAGTCTAAAACTGCTCTCTCGCCTGGATCTCTAGCTCAATCTCTCGTCTCCTTGCGGCGTCCTGATGTTCAATGAGAGAACCATAGTGTTGGGTAGACACGAACTGTTGAATGTCCGTCTTGAGCATGCTCAAATACTGAGTCATCTGAGTCTGCTCTGAAGCAGCGAACTCAGGACTGAACAAAGTCCTCTCAATGAACATCTTGGTGATCTCCGTCACCGACTAGGCCGTCTGTCTCAGATCCAGGTACTCATGGGCCAGTCTCTCCCTCTCTACCATGGGAACATACCTTGCACGGAACACCTCTGAGAACTGCTCCCAAGTAAACGCGACCCTCTGCTCAAGAGTATAAGAACTAGTCATCAGTCTCCACCAATTCCTTGCCCCCAGCCTGAGAAGGTTCAGGGCACACTTGACCTTCTGGTCATCCGGACAAGAACACATGGAGAAACAACCCTCCACATCAGACAGCCATCTCATTGCCTCGATCGGGTCCGAGACCCCATCAAACTCTGGGTGCTTGGTATTATCGAAGTCCCGATATTGGAAAGCTCTCTCTCCCCGACCCCTAATGGAAGTAACAGTTGCGGTGGCTGCAGCAACAGCAACCTCAGAAAGTGTAGCATAACGATCATCGAAAAACTCAATCATGGCGGTCTTGACCATCCCGAGCAACTCCGGAGTCACCTCCCAGACAAAAGAAACAACCTCCTCACGAATGATATCCATAACTCGGTCCTCTGTCAATCCTGGCCACCAGTTTCGACTCCTGATCCTAAATCTCCAATAGCCGCCATACTGAAAATATATCAAAGAAGATCAAACATCACAATACAATGCTCAACACACCAGGTCCTACTCCTATTATTCATTTTGTTTGTCACCATTACATTCAATTTGAACATGCCATTCAAGGTATATCCTTTTCCCACAAACAAACCATTTTTGGACAAAACAAACTTGTCCGACTCAAACACTAGCTTAAAACCAAATTGGTTCAACAAACCACCCGACACTAGATTCTGCCGAAGTTCAGGAACATACAAAACATCGTTAAACTTCACATCTTTCCCCGAAGTCATTTTTAGAATGACATCACCAACACCTTTGATATCCACGGTAGCTGCATTTCCCATATAGAGCTTTTCACCATCTTCAACTTCCTTGTAGGTGTTGAAAACACTCTTATCATGACACACATGACGAGTAGCCCCCGTGTCAATCCACCACTCCTTTGAATTTGTATTCATGAGATTCACTTCAGAAACCATAGCCGTGAGATCAGTTATCATGGCCACCAACTCCATGTTATCATTCACCATGTTTGCTTGACGGTTTTCCCGCTTAGTTTGTGGGCACTCCGAAGCCTTGTGACCCGGTTGGCCACAGTTATAGCACTTGAACTTCTTTTTGAAAGTTCCTGCCTTGGGGCCTAGGTTTTTGCCCTTTGCTTTCCCTTTGTGAGGTCCCTTGCTTTTTCTCTTGGAAGTTTGACCAGCTTCCACCATATGAACCTTAGAAGATTCAACTTCACTGCCTTTCTTCAAGGCCATTTGATTGTCTTCTTCAATATGAAGACGCACCACCAGTTCCTCCACAGACATCTCCTTTCGCTTATGCTTAAGGTAGTTTTTGAAGTCTATCCAACCAGGAGGAAGCTTTTCAACCATTGATGCATCTTGGAATGACTCATTAAGATCCATCCCTTCTGCATTGTTATTATGTATGATGACCTGAAGGTCTTGGACTTGACTCATAATAGATTTTGAGTCAACCATTTTGTATTCCAAGAACTTAGCAACAACATGCTTCTTGGTACCAACATCTTCTGTCTTATACTTCCTTTCCAAAGACTCCCATAGTTCCTTAGCAGTTGCAACTTTACAATAAACATTGTAAAGTGCATCAGTTAGCCCATTCAACACATAGTTGCGGCAAAGAAATTCTGAATGCTTCCATGCATCCACTGCATTGACAGATTGAGCATCAGCCTGCCCCTCAACAATTATAGGAGCAGTTTCTGTTAGGAACCGAGCCAGGTTCAAGGTGGCCAACCCTGTAAGAAAAAGATTAGTAGCAAATGAGGTGGTTGAGGCTTGACTTGGACTCGATTCCCTTAAACAGATTCGTCGTCTGTTCCCAGGGTACAACAACCTTAACAGTATGTGTACTGCCGGATTTCGCCGTCTGTTCCCAGGGTACAACAACCTTAACAGTATGTGTACTGACTGTCGGATATTTCCACTTGCCTGAAAGAGTCGTCGGAAGCAGATGTACAGAGAAGGAGGAGGAAGAAGAGTATTTTCATTCGTATGTCAAATGAGATGGTAGAGGTCTCCTTTTATAGTTGAAATCATTAATTACGTAATTAATGCATTCGTTATAGAATTCAAAATAAGGACTAAAACGAGGGTAGCACGAGCCCAAGTTTTCGGAGCTGCATTCGTGTCCGCAGATCGCGCTCATGCACAAGTTCGGTGTTTTTGGTCTACAAAATCCAAAGTTAGTAAAAATATAGATATCTATACTAAATTTTCCAACACCCCACCCATCACTATCCCGTACCTATCAATTCAAATAATTACTCCCTCAGCAGTCAGCACCCGAAATAGCATTCACGTGATTTAACTTCAATTTATGTTTTACTGATTTGATAAACAAAGCGAAATGAACAAAAGTTTATTAGGAAAAAGAAACAATTACCCAGTTTCGTTGATTTCGACGTGACAGTCATCAGAAACTGTCTCGAGAAGGCGGAGCAAAGAGGCCTCATGAGGAAGGAGTCCAGGTCAGGTGGCGTCGGCACGGATATCCTTTGACAGAAGTAGCCGTTGCCTTAGGTGTAGTCGTTGCCTTAGGTTTTGACTACCTTTAAGTTTCATATACGACACCTTCCCCATCTTTTCTTCTCTTATTCAAATCTCAGAGGAATTTACAGTTGCGTCCTTTTGCCTTAGACCCTCGCACTTCCACACCAAAGAATCAAGATTTATACCAAAAAGACAAAAACACATACTAGTAGTATTTTACTGTTGGTTTGTCAACAAATTTAGTCCTTTGATTTAGACTAAGTTACAAAAATGGTCCTTATAATTGTTTAATTATCCGGTCCTTAACTTTCCATATTGTTGGGCTTTTGTTCATGTTGTTAGGTGGCCCATGTAAAATGTTTAAAAACCTTATTTATATATTTATTTTAACAGTTTTTTATATATATATTTTGCTTTATATAAATATTAAATATGGATCCTACCATTTTCCCAAATGAATCTTTTTTGTTGCAAGATTTAAATTTCTGAAAAAACAACCGGTTATTTTGGATATGCACATTTACATTAGATGTGATGCAAAGACATTTGCGCATGCATAAACACTAAAAATTAAAAACATACACACTGAAAACTTAATTATAAAGCTCGGGATCGAACTCAATAAAGTAATCGACAAGTTTGTGTTAAGCTCGAATCGATCAAGGTTGTCAAGATCGGGATCTTACATAAGATTGTTTTATGTTTTGTAAGATCATGATCGAAAGATCCTTCTAAAATGAACTCATATTTTAATTCATTCACAAGGTCTTAGTGTGAAGTATACATTATAACTTGATATTGATTAAGACGTCAATAATGTAATCAACTTTAACTTCTAAAGCATAAATCATAATTTTTGTTGCTACAAACCGGAAAAAATAAGAATAAAAGATCCTAATTAGAAAAAAGAAATCATTGTGATCATGTACAACTAAAGACAAAAGATCACAAATGGATTATTATGAGTGTGCTCTGCCTAACCTAATTAGAGATGAATTTATGAAATGATGATGCTCTACAATGCTCGATTTCAAGTTAAATAGATGAATTTTTTAACTCAACTATATAATAGAACTGAGGTGAGATTGGGATCATAGTGTGAATTTTTAATGTCCAATTTCGTCCATGGAATTTCGGATCTAATAGCATGGATGTATAGATCCTGTTCATGGATTAACGAAAATGTGCAAAAGCTCTATTTGCCTCTGCTATCGTGATCGATTTTCACTTGTAGGATTTTAAAATCATAACTTAATATCAAGATCGGGATCTTAAGAACCACACTGATTAGTTATTATTATTATATATATATATATATATATATATATATATATATATATATATATATATATATATATATAATTTCAATTGAATAAAACAAATAATAAAAAAGTAAATATAATTAAACTCACAGATCGAATATCCCAACACTTGAGCACAACCAGATAATATACTTAAATAGCTAAAGCTCAATCTGGATTCCACTTAAACAAGTCGATATCGGGTATTTTTCGAGTTGTCCTACAAGTTGGCTCAACTATGTTACATTACTTTATTAGAGAAACTAAAAATAGAGGAGATAATACAACATTTAATAATAATAATAATAATAATAACTGGAGTTAGTAAATACCATTTTATTAGTAAATTACATCATTGATATACTTTCAGCAGAGGTTGATTATCGTTATTTCAGTTATAATCCGTTTACTTTTTCTTGAGCAAGGAGAGAAAAACCTTCAGCAAAGTTAGTATAAAAATCAGTTATTACTTCATATTTAATTAATTGCACTCGATTGCAAAGTTATTAAAATATTCAGATTATGTCCACATGGTGTTAGACATATACTGAATCCGGAAAAGAAATTATTAAACCAAAACATCTTAAATTAGTCACTTACTACCACCAAGTATTGTTCTGTGTTGTTTCAACAAAATTAGTAGAAAAAATAGGTTCTCCTTGCTTCTTGAAAAACCTTACCATTATAACTATAAGAAAAAAAGAATTATCACAATTAAAACACATTAAACCTAAACCTTAGTTTTACATTCTTGATTCTCCCTCATCAACAAATTTCTTCAGCAAATATGACGTCATATATGGATTGCACTGCACAAACACCAAATCACCAATCACACCAAATACATGGACTCAAAAAACTAGATAAAGAGTAATAACAAACAACTATTCTTTAAAAAAAAAAAAAACTTTATTTTTTACCTTCTTCTTTCAGGATATTTGGTTGATCTACTAAAATCCGTTCAAGAGCTTGTAAATCATCAACACTGCAATCATTTTCAATCAGACATGATAGACGTCAATCAGAAAAAAAATATAATTATTTGTCCCACCCAAAAAAAAGATGGGACAAGAACTCTCTCGATCACTCGTGTGTGTAAAAGACATAATTACCCTCAAACACATACCTTGGATTCAAGGCAAGGCTAGCAATTGCTGACATCACCAATGATTTAAGCCGGTACCTACACCATTGGATTCAAAAATTCATATCCACACTCACATTATTTTAAGACTTCCAATATAAATTTAAAGTAGAAGAATGTATAACTTTATTAAAAAGTGTGTACATATAATACATTCATACATACTCAGATTGATACATCTCTTGAAGAATTTGAAGGCCTTCCAAACAGTCTGCAATACTTGGTTTTACACCAATCCTGAGATGTAATTGTTTCACTGATCCGCCTTTCACTTGCTGTTTAGCATCACAAATAGTTTTTGCAAGAAACAAAACAACACCATTTAATTCCTCCCTAAAAACATAAGATTAAATATTACTATTATTATTCAGGTAAACTAGAATCATTATTTATTAATCACTGAGCTTACAGAGTTTTAGTCATTGAAAGCATGATTTTCTGCAAGGAATCCGTCTGTTTTGTGAAGATGGAGATTTTAATATGATCAAGGTTTTTTAGGGAACCGTAGTTTTTGGGATTTTGGAGCAACTGATAAGAGGGTAAAAAAGGAAATAAAATCAATAAGAATCAAGAGACTGAAGCATGTATATGTATCTGTGTATGTGGAATATGAAGGACCTGTAACCTTCCAATGATGGAAGAAGCATTTCTGAACTGTGACACTAATCGAGCATGGAGGTGTTCCCATCGATCCATGTCATCTTTTACCCTTTTAAGTTTCTGCTGAAACTTTTTCACTGTTGCCTCCATTATCAACCAATACTTGTGCTATATTCCAGCAAGATGTACACTACTAGAGTCTGTTGAATGTTGATACTCGTGTTATAAAATTACCTAACTTATTTTGGTTTACTGTGTCATCAACCTCTAAATTTTGGATATGATGCATGTACGGGATTAAGGATTGGGGCATCATACCTCAATCCTCAATCACAATTGTTATATTCAAAAACCCAACTTCGAAATTACATCAATTTGTTACACCGATTTTGCCAAATTGTCAATCGGAAGTGTTAATAGCAGATTTTTTTTCATACAAATCAAATAAAAATGATAAATAAGAAAATTCACTTATATTTGACAGCGTTAAGGAAGCTTGTATGTTTTCAACAAAAATATCAGTTTTTGCTTAGCTCACTCGAATCTGGACTGAGGGTTTATGTAAAACAAGAAGGAGAGAACGCGGACCTTAGGAGGAAGCTTGAACGAGACTGCTGCTTACACAGCCATCGGCCAGGAGAAGGTAACTCGGGAAATAAATTGGATTGCGTATTTGAGATGCGTTGATCGGTGAAGCTTCACCGGTTTCTCATTTTCTCCTTTCGGAACGACAAGAGACGAGAAGGGTGTGCGTGTGTGTTTTTGAATATGAGTTTGTTTTTCAAAATGTGAGTTTAATTTATATATATATATATATATATATATATATATATATATATATATATATATTAAAGAAGTCCTATCTTAGGAACACTACCTGACCCACGTACTTTCATAAGGTTATTTTAACTCAACCAAAGTTTGACGATCAGATTTCTTTCTTCTTGAAGCTTCTCGCACCGCCTCTGTTGCTACTGAGTCATCGGCTTTCTGACATCAATTGCTACGTGTTATCGTTTCTATAAAAATTCTTGAGTTTTTTTTTTAGAAAAAGTGTGTTTGAATGTGATTATAATTAATGGTTCATTTTTGGATTTTGAAGTTTTTTTTTCTTTAACTTTAACCTAAATATTTTTATTTGTGTTATATATTACTTAATGAAACTTATAACAATAAAAAAAACATTTATAATACAATTCATTCATATATTTCGCATCAAGTATTATCTATCAAAAAGAAAAATAATTAAGATCAAAGTTGAAGAATAAAGACTTTAAAAGTCAAATGTGGACAATTAATTTGGGACGGAGGTAGTATGAGTTTGTTTACAGCTTACACTTTACATCAAAATGTGAGTTTAATTCTTATAAAAATTCTTCAATTTGTTTTTCAAAATTTTGTGTTTGAAAAATGAGTTTTGAATGTGATTAATTTTTTAAAAATTTCTTGAGATATTTTATGAAAGGGTTAAACAAATTTTTTTATTCTAACTCTTTTTATTTAAAGTCTCATCATATGTATTTTAAACTTCTTGAAATTTATCTTATAATTCTTTTATTAATTAAAACCAGAGGGTGTGCCCTCGCGTTGCTACGGGTCGGGAAATTTTTTATTGTTTTCTTGGTTGTTTCAGATTTCACAGTTTGGGTTTGTTTATGGGACAGTTTTTTAGAATATACATAAGGGACCAAAGCCGACAAAATATAGAGACTATGATGGTTAGATCATAACATCCATAAAATTTCACAAAAATTTAAATTTTTTAAAACAATTCCACCAAACACCATGGTTTACAAAATAGTTTTCAAACATGTTTATTATCAAAGTTTATCCCAAAGATCATAAAACAAAACATGAAGAGGTACACGATCACGCCTTTGCCTTCTCGCGATCATCTGAGGTACCTGAAACATAACCTAAAACTGTAAGCTCAAAGCTTGGTGAGTTCCCCAAAATATCAACCCAAAACAAACCAGAATAATGATTATAAACAACATGCATAAAGAGCCTTCAGTCTGACTGGAACGCCCCACCGACCTGCAATCTATCTGGTACACTCACAGAACCTTCAGCATGACTGGTACGCCACACTGGGCCTTCAGCCTATCTGGAACGTTCCCCGGGCCTTCGACCTGACTGGTACACCCCACTAGCCTTCAGTCCATAAGGGACATCATGGGTCTGCTTCAACACAAAGTAGGACTGCCTCAACCCACCCGCCATCACACATCAACATATATCATATCAAACACTAGCTAGCATATACAGACAATCATACAGATCTAACAAATCACTACACATAGCATCATAGAATAAACCAGGATACAATCCAAAGGGTCGGCCTTGGTGCCTTAGACCCTGTTAGTACAGTGAGGAAAACTCACCTCACACAACCGAAAGAAACAAATAATTCCTGGTTGCTGGTCCTACAACTTCTGAGCTATAAATTGACAAATAAAAACCAATTTAACATTTGGGATCTAAATCATATCCATACATCCCTACTTGGGGTAAAAAGACCATTTTACCCCTAAACTAGCTTGGTCCATGACTAAAGCCCAATTACACAATCTAATAGGCCCAAAAGTCTAATAATCCATCAAGGCCTAATTATGGCCCAATTTCCAATTAGGCCCATTCCCCTCTCATGGGCCTTAGCCCAAGGCCCAATAATATTCTTGGCCCAAAACTACCAAAATCAAATAGCCCAACTAAATCATAGCCTTCTAAGCCTAAAATGTGGCCCAAACCTAAAGCCCAACATCATAAAGCCACCTGCCTGAGTACCACGGGGCGTACTCAGCTTGTATGCTGCGCGTACAGGCTTGTACGCCCAGCATACTCTTCCAGATTAGCCATCTTCAAGTTTAAGCTCTTAACCCATTAAGACTTCGCTCCAGGGTGTAGATCTCACCTTCTTGAGTTGGATTGTCACGTAAAGTTGCTAACTTTACGACCATGCAAAGCTAAATGAGGCTCTTTAGCTCAAAAAGGGCTTAATACATGACTTAATGCTTGCATGGGACCTTTAACTTCATAAAGATGGCACCTTTATGCTTAAGGAGGCCATGTTAAACCTAGATCTGAATGAATAAGTCTTTAGGACGTCCTAATTCCATCATCCACCCAAATCATGGCTAAAAACATAACAATTTAACCCAAAAAGAGATATAAGCAACTAGTGATCAATATAAGAACTTGATACCTCAAAATCCTTGCAAAATAGGTAGTTGTTCTGGATCCAAAACTTCCCTTCCAAGCTTATCAACTTCAAGATCTTCTAACTCCTTCAAAATGCACAAAATAACCACCAAACTCTCTTCAAAGGCTCAAATGCTTAACGATGTAGGCTACAACTCGTTTTAGGGTTTTGGAGGCTTTAGAGGCTGGTAAGGAGGCCACCCCTAAGGAATAAGATGGATTATATAGGGTGCATCTATTGGGTTTTGAGCATTCTAACACTCCTATGGTGTACATGCAACCCTAGATGCTTTGGATCTATGTTTTCTCTAATATACATGCAAACTTTGTTTTTCCAAAGCATCATCCTAACTAGCATACAATGGAGTATCTTTACTACAAAAATTATAGTTAGATGACATACCTCTTGTTGTAGCTTGCTATCCTTGATGTATTTGGCCTTTAAGAACTTAGCACCAATAGTGTGAATGCCTCAAATGGAATCACAACACACCTACGACAAAGGATAACTTGAGAGAGAATGGCTTGCTCTAGAAATCGGCTCTATGACTCTTCCAAAGATCACTAGTGCCCATTTCACCAACCAATGGGCTTCTTATATAGTGTAGCATAACTAGGGTTACACCATGCAAACCCTAATGTGCATGACTTTCCACATTCCTTAGGCTCCATGGGTTTTAACCTCCATGGAGTATCCATGGGTCACCACATGGGTTTAGCCCAACATAAAGAACTATGGATCATAAGCCCACTTTATAAGAATGAATGATTTACACAATCAATCCCCATATATTTAATTAGTCTCTTTTTATCACTAAATTAATTCCAAATTAATTCTTGATCAATACTAATTAAATGATTTCATATTAATATATTAGAACTTATAATATATTAATAAATCATAAATAACCTCTTCTCAAAAGTCCATCCTATCAAATTATCCTGATGATATGCAACCCAAATGGACCATGCTACTCTCGGGTCAAGTACATACCAATTATAGTTATGGGCTTAGACACCTAATCCAACAGCATGACCCTTAATTAGGGTTTCATTAAAGTCCACGTACGCCCAGCGTACATGACCTGGGTCCTGACTCGCTATCGAATCAGTACGCTAAGTGTATCAAGTGGTACGCCCCGCGTACTGGCTTCTCAGCTACTACGCCAAGCGTACCAAGTGGTATGCCCCGCATACTACTCCAAGGGCTGAAAGATAAAATTTTCATAAATGAAGGACAAAAGTGAACATACCAACATGGGGGTGTTACATAGATGGACGTTCTACTCCAAGGGATAAAAGAGAAACTTTTCGTAAATTATCGTTGATCAATGGAGAGTGTGTGGTTAACCGACATATTGATTAGGTGATAAATGACATCGAGAGTACCAATCTAATTTGCATGGTTATTCACACCTTGTTTGTGATCCTCGGTATGCCAGTCACAAACGTGAAGGGTATAATCGAGATTAAACATGCCATTGAAAAGTTCAATGAATCTTAAAAGATCCAGGAATTTTATTTAAAACCTAATTCGTTAAAATTTCGTTTTCGTGGTGGGATTTGTAAATCATCATTTACCTACCTTAAAATAATTTACAATTGGATTACGGCATCCCTCTTCCGAATTGTGAATTATTGTGTTGGGTCCTAGCCTTAATATCTCATTTGGGTGTTATATTAAGGATTAAATCAACTAACTTGAATTTCTTCCTTTTGTATATGTCTAGTTCTGACAACTATGGTCTTCCTCAATCCTTTGGAAAAAGCTTTCCTTTTGAAGATGATCTTCCACGTGTCGATCAAGGTGAAAGATCAATCCCTTCTTCGTGCTTTGGTGGAACTGGAAATCATACTTCACTTCCTCCACCTCCCCCAGTAATTCTCCCTGACCCACTTTTTCGTCGACTTGAAAAGTTCAAGGTCACTCAAGCCCTATTGGCATGCAAACAATGAGATGGAAGTTCTGTGTGTGCACACGTCCTTAAGATGAAGTCGCACATTGACAGAATGGGATAGTTGGGTGTCGTTTTCCCAAGGAAGCTAGCTGTTGATTTAGTTCTTCAGTCACTTCTCGAGTCGTATAGTCAGTTTGTTAAAGACTACTATGTGACAGATCACGACGCGACCCTTATTGATCCGACATATTTGCTAATTGTTGATGAAGCAACAATGCTTTGGCGCACTGGTCAAGCAAATTTGATAGATCCACCTCCCAAATTTACATGGACATAGGCTATGGCAACGATGATAGTCCAGAAAGGATTTCTTCTCCTAAGGGAGAGAAATTGGCCAATGTCAAAAATTTTGACCGTAAGAGAAAGGCCAAGTCTGAGATATTTTCACGTGTCACTCCGGAAGAGTCCATCTGTCTCTATTGCCGTTTGAAGGGCCATTGGAAGCGAAGCTGCCCAGACTGCCTGAGAGATCTAAGAGATGGTAAAGTCAAATTGTATGACTCTACTTCAGGTACATCCACTATCTAACTCTGTTAAGTTCCTATTTATAGATTCTTATTACATGATGTGTTAATCACATTTTGATGTTTTCTAGGATCAGAGAGAAAGAAGGAAGCTTAAA